AATATCATTTTAAATCGTCTTTAATAATGCCTTTGTCTGCTCGTGTTTGGGAACTATGCTTGCTGGTACCCGTAAGTGAATGCCTCTCGGCCCGATGCGTTGAAAAGTTAAGCTGTGGTTTACAGATGCCTGTTCACGTCTTTAATGAAGGTTTTCTTTTTGTGTTTGGCGCAGGGCCGTATCTGCAGAAAAGCTGGCAAATCAAAAAAGTCATTCAGTCGAAAGGAAGCTGAAGCAACATTTAAGAGTTTGGTGAAGACCCATGAAAAATATGGGTGGGTCACCCCTCCCGTCTCTGATGGCTGATGTTAGCAACCTGCAMTTGACAAAAATGCTGAACAAAAGTACTGTGACATCTCCTCAGTGCTGTACACCGCCCATCCTTTTCTACTTCAGCTTCAGTTACATACCATGAATGTCAAGGAGACATCTAAGTTATTTATGAACAGATGTGTTTACAGAGGGAGAGAAAAAAAAAATGCTGTGTAGGATTATATTTCAAGACTGGAGAATGGTCATCATTGAAGTCACTTGAGCGGATGCTGAGATTGCGTCATTTGCCCCCATACAGCCCACATTGTCTTCAGCTTCTTTCCATGACAGCAGCACCAAACAGCAGTACTGGAAAGTCTATCCATTACTGCTCAGTTCATTTAAATGTAAATGAAACAGTTAATATTTAATAGGGAAGCAGTGCATTGCAGGTACATGTTTGCTGTGCTGTTTATCTTTGTCTCCTAGCAGGTCAACATAACTTGAAGATTTGTCTTTATGTGGAACTGTGGTCTGCTGTGACTAAATTTAGACCTCATTTGTGCTCTATATATGACCTTTAATTCATAAATGAAACCAGAATTAAAATGCTGAAAGGTCCTAGTGTTGAAAAATTATTAAGTGGAATCACCCAACCGGTTACAATGTGCTCTCTGTGCTGATATTGTGATGTGCTGTTCAGAAATAAACCAGTGCAGTTAGCTGAAGGTTAGGTGGTTTTTTAAACACATCCACGCCAGGGCTCAGCGGGCTTGGTCKGTGGTGGCAGAACAATGATTACCCTGCCGGTACCTTCTGCAGTGGCATGTGGCCTGTCGGTTCTTCGAAACAGCGAAACAAACGAGMGGAAATGGACAAAGCAACCTTAAAATTTTATCTGTTCGATTTTGAAATGATATGCCAGTAACAGAGTAAAAACTTTCAAGTCAAATGGAACATGGTTTGTAAGATGATTTGCATGACTGGAATTTTTCTTTTTTATTTTCACTCAATAGGCATTGTATGTACTTAGAGCCCAGTATCTGAGAAAGCCCACTGATGTATATAAATGTCCTATTATTTAATCATTAAAATTTAAGTTTTCTGGTAAAAAAAATTGAAAAAAAAACTTTCTAAGGGACTCCATAAAAGCTGAAGGTGATGTTAAGAATGGTATAGAAAAGCATTAAAAAATGTGGATTCCGAATGGAAAATCRTATTGGACACGTGCTGAATAAAATCACCAGTATCGTTTCTGTTGCCTCAGGAATGAAATCATTTTGGCCAGCTTTTGTATTCAAAGTAATAGATTTTCTGTTGTGAGATTCTAAGCATCATATGGATGTATCTGTTGTTTAATTGAAAGTAGGACAGTATCGATTGTAAGACTGATTTGGAGGGGGAAAGCAGAGTGTGTTTGGAAGCACTTTCCATTATATGGCTAACACAAGAACAAATCGAAATGGTTGACCAGTTTCTGTTTGTATTACAGTAACACYGGAGACTATACAGAGAGCTTGGGGGTCTGGAGTTTGATTTAAAACTACACACAGCATAGAAGAACAAAAGGAGGACAATGGAGTTCAAACATGAGAGAAGAAGCAGCAGCAGAGCAGATATTCTAGCAGTTCTGGTGCAAAAACACTGCTCAGYTGGGCTGTCAAGCTTTGTCAGCTAGATACAGAGAAAAATAATCAAAGCCTTCACCAAAAGGAATATGCAGGTCAGAGCCACTCAGTTTTGTGGGCATACCGGGTTTCTTGCACTTCTGATCTCCATCAGTAGTCACTTCTCTTTCTCCTCTGATCATTTGCGGTGTGCCTTAACTCAGTTACAAAGAGAAATGCTTCGTACCACAAATCTGCCCAGTTCTTGCTGTCATTTATCTCACTCTGCTTTATACTTGGAGACAGTGCTAAAATCAGTGCATATATGTACTTTTCCTCTCAAATTRCATATCAGTTCTGTGCATCCAGCACAGAATGTGTCTTTTGAATGAGGAATAACATTTCAAGTAATTCACTCACTCAGTTTTTATAAGCTTTTTTTTWTTTGGGCTCCCTTAYGAAAGAGGAAACTGGTATGCTTAGTTAAGCATCAAATAATTTGTAATCCCTAGTGGGACTCGCTGAGAACACAGARTGTGATCTAGCACTGGAAAGCATAAGGTTTGTTATTCCCCTTCAGAAAAGCTCTTCCCTCATCAACACAGTGAAATTATGTTAAAAACAGCATGAAGGTGTGGTAAGTCTTTGGGGGGGGGCATTATTTCATTTTCCGCTGTTTTTTAACCTGTCTCTTTTTTTCTGTCAGTGGGTTATTTTAAATCTTCCTGAGAACCGTATCTTTAATATTTAATTAAAGGGTTAGCTAAAAGGAATGTAGTGGGTGGGTTGCTACCACTTCCCTCAAACCTACTTATTATGTGTCTTCTTAAGTGCGCTTTAAATAGTCAGAGCAAACATCATCGCTAAAAATCACAGTTACTTTCTGGCTGTAGGAGGTTCTCTGCATCACTCAGCGTCTTGGAGCAGTAGGAGAGGCAAATCAAAAAATCTGGAGTGCTTTGAAGCTGTAGCAGAAGGGGAGCAGAGTGCGTGTGATGATGAGCTGCRGCAACAAATCGTGCGAGGAAGAAAGAAGGCAAAGTACACTGCATGAACTAGGGCAGGATGAAGTTCCTGCTGCACCAAAAATAATACTGCTGCTATGAAAGAGACATGGCTTATGGCAGGAGCAGCCTGTGCTGGGGACACACAGGAAAAAGGGGACAGCGGGGAGTGCAGGAGCTTTGTGCTTCTGAGCAGGGAGGGAGGGAGGTGGATAGGAGAGCGGTTAATTAAGAGATCTATAAAGAGAGTTGATCTATTTCGGGGAAAATTAGTTCACGTTTTTTGTCTAGCTGTGTGCTAGACAGGTTCTACTTCCTCTGCAACAGACAAGCCTAAAAGGAAAGTGAAGGAGAATTTTGGGAAAGGAAAAATGTATGAGGGGAAGGAAAAATGAGAAAGACCTGAGAGAGAGAGAAAGTATAGGCTGGAGAAAATAAATAACTGGGCAGGTAAAASACAGGACAAAAAAAACCCCACTGATAATGGAAGGGTATAAAATGAGGGAGACAGCACAACATCAGAAAAAGCAGTTTAGGCAGGACATACTGCAGGAACTGATTGCAGAGCTGCTCCATGTACCTAAGATTCAATAATGTCCTTTTTGTTTGCATCCCAGAAAGTGAGAGCTTCTTCCTTGTTCTAGCCTTCTGGCAGCTGAGAAGGATGTTAGGATTTGGAGCTGTGTTGTGGAACTCAAATCAGGCCGTCACGTCTCTTCTGTGACTGAGAAATAAACATAAGCATCATTCCCAGATTCTAAATTCCAGGAGGCCAAAATGAAAACAGATTGGACAGTCATCTGCTTGGTCAAAGTTCCTCAATATCAGTGAAGTGGGAGGATTTCTTTTGCAGACAGAAAACCTCAATATTCCTCATTTATCCAATCAAAAATCTCCTTAGGATTTCTTGTAAAATTAGCAGTCAGCACAGGTCCTTCAGCTCTCATTAGACCCATATTATCAGGAACATTATTTTCCATCTGCTGTCCCCAGAACAGATGATTAATTTGAAACTATCATCTGGGGAGGTGTGAAGCTGTATTGGGAAGTTACTTTCTGTCTTCTTTAGAATATATCCTTTTGGAGGATCTTCTTTGAGTCTGAAAAAGCTACTTGAATGAATACAGGCATTGAGCAAAGCAAGCTTATGATAAAGAAAGTGGTCTCTGAATACCTGAATGCTGAAAGATTTCCACAGAGAACAGGACTGATGATTTGTGTAGGTATGTGTTTTTGTGTCATTAGAAATTGGTTCTCAAAATTTAACAGTCAAAACCTTAGGAGTCAAAGACMTCTTGAACTTATGTTCTTTTCTCTCCCAAACACAGTGTGTCTCCTTCATTCCATATTTCTAAACTTCAGTCCTGAGCCCAGAGAAAGATCATAGGTATGGTCTGTTTATTTGRTGCTATGGCACTGTATTAAAAAAAGAGACCCATTTCATTATCCTTGTCCAAAGCAGTACACAAGACCATAAAACAAAGCTTCTTGCATGAATAGCAGGGTTGGAACAAAGCCTTTATAACGTGACAAATACACGTGATACGACAATGTTATATATATATATATATATATATATACACACACACACTTTTAGAAAACTCATTTAGAAAAACTTTTGAAAGTCACAACTGCCAAGTGGTGATGGCTGTGATGGCCGGTGCTTTGATGTGCAAGGACTTTCCATTCCACAGGAACCTGCAGTAGAGAGAAATCTCTTTTTGGTAGGCTGACTGTACAGAGAAAAATACTGCAGAACTAACTGGCTTTGGGATTTAAATCATTAAATTAAATGGATTTTCTTCTACACTTTTAAAATTTTTTTTCAAGATTTTCAGGCACCCACACAGAGCCACAGTGTCTTCATCTTCCACAGGCAGTATGACCAGCGTGGTTATTTATGTGTCTGGTGAGATGGTTGATAATGAACCCACTTCTTGTTGGAGAAGTTTTTAGAGGATAACTGACTTCCAGCTGAATGCCTGGGTGTGGGGCTTGGCAGACGTACTGAGGATTTACTTGTCAGTGTTATGTAGGCAGATGTGATGCATGCATGGGCATCCCAAAGCTTAGCTGAAATTACAGGGGGAAGCATTTGCATAGAGGCAGTGTGAAAAGTTTGTCTCTTCCATGCAGRAGGTGACTTCTGGTGAAGAAAGTTCCCCTCAAACTGTGCTGTAACCAATAGAAYAGAATTAAGTAGGCCAACCTGCTGGTACAATGTAATTTTCCACTCACGTTTTCCCTCCCTGAAAAGCACCAACTTACATTAAATAGTCTGTTTCAGACATCACATTTCAGAAAACGACAATCAGTAGCAATGCTAAAGTAAAACTCCTGGATATTATCTCCTCCAGCCTTCCCAGCACATTCCTGAAGGGAAGATGTAGCTCTGATCTAAGTGAACAAGAGAGATGGAAAGGGCTGTGCACATGCACTGAGAGCACACACTGCCCTACAAAGAGCCAGCGGTGGGACAAGGCGGGCAACAAGCCTCTGAGCTTACCTAGACAACATGCATCCTCTCTTTTTCTTTTGTTTTCAGATACTGACCTTGCAAACACTTTACAAACGTCCATATTACTTGGATTGAATCAAAGGTTCAGTRTGCCTCTGACCCAAGCTCCTGCTTGCAGAGCAGATGGGTTACTAAATAYGCACTGTGGGCTTTCCTGTGTTAGCGACACAGTTAAAGTTGTGCTTTGTTGGCTCTGAAGAATAAAGTGGCTCTCAAACTAGGTCTGAKCACAAATAGATTGGAAGTGAGTCACCTGCTATTGTCAGAACAGTTGCACTGTAGAGGTGGTTTTGTCCTTACATCAAAGGGTGGAGGTGAGGTGCTGCAGGGAGAGTTCACCAGTAGGACACTGCAAGATGTTAAAGACAGCCTGCCTCTGCCATGTGTGTGTGTCCCATATTGCTGACTACTTAATTGCATCCTCTTAAGCGTACATTGCTCTGCTCTGTAAATTATGCCCCCTTCAAAGTTTTACTGATATGCTAAGGAAACATTAAGCAAGTTGTGTAAATTTACATTAAAAGCCTTCGTTTCAATCTGGAAGCATGCAAATGCCGTGCTGACGCCTGTCAAACTTCACCAGCAGCTTCCTCGAACAAGTCATGGACAAATCAGTGATGACGGTAGTTAACACAAAAATAGAACCTCTGTAATTTGGATGTTTGACTTCGTCTTTTCGCTGATTACTTTGTCTTTCGGTTTGACTGACTGCAGACGAGAACGTCAAGATAACAGCAGTGGAACTGTCATAGCRTTTGTTTATTTATAACAGTTCCTTTTGTTCATGCTGCTAAATAAGGTGGCAATAAATATTCATTGCAGTTGTGTTTCRCCAAATGGGAATTCAGAGATAACTCCTCTCACTCGGAAAACTTTGCATTTTATACTCAGTGTTTGCCACCACATACAGCACTCATTATCTTTTGCTGTCAAATATTCTTGTATTTTCTTATTCAGTGACCTCCTGTGTTTTAAATTATTTGTGGTTTATTAACAGAAATATGTGAAGCATGTTGCAGGTCCTCTTGGCAAAAATCTGTGAGAAGTAACTGAACCAAATCTAGTTGCCTGGGTGATTTAGAAGAGTTCTTCACTTGCCATTTGCATTAGCAAGACCTGCAGATTTTYACTAAATATTCTTCAACAAAACAAAGACTTCAGTTTCAGCAYAAAATCCATGCTGACATGGATTAGCATGTGTCTCAGGAATGAAAGCAGACCATCCTTGCGAGAAATTTAAACCATTTCTTCATTTATGCCAGCACCATTTAGTTCTGAAAATGCATGGYAACAATACAACATAGGTAATGCCTTATACTGGATGAGGTTTTAATTATTTGATCATTGCATAAATAYGATTTTACAATGTATTAATAGAATTTATGATAATCCCAGCACACCGGGAGGAGTGATTGATATCCTGGAAGGCAGAGGCTCACATTCAGAAGCTGAAGGATGGGCCAACAGGAAMATCATGAAGTTTGACAGTGACAGGCATTAGACCCTCTGTTTGAATGGAGCCATCCAAGTGACCAGGACAGGCTGGGGMTGTCTGGCAGCTCTGCAGGAAAGGATCTGGAGTCCTGGGAAGACAGCAGATTTACAAGGGATCAGCACTGCACCCCGTCTGTGACAATCAGCCATGCACTGGGCTGCCCTGGCAAAGGCACTGCCAGCTGGACAAGGAATGGGATTCCTTTCCTCACTTGTGAGTTGACATCTAGGGTACTATGTCCAGTTTTGGGGCCCCAGAACAYGGCACTTTTTGACAAATTGAAGGGGCACCAGGAGGGTTCAGGGTCTGGAGCCTGTGGGAAGAGGCTGAGAGAGCAGCTTGTCCTTAGATGGGAAGAGAAGGCTGAGAGGGGGCTGGCAGCAATCTTGCACCACCTAGGAAGGGATTACA